TATTGTCCCTTAATTTTACTTTCATCACACAGGGTGAGGCCGGTGCTGAAGGACCAGTGGGCAAAACTGGGCCTGTGGGCCCCCAGGGGCCTCCTGGAAAGTCTGGAGCTGAAGGCTTACGTGGCATCCCGGGGCCTGTGGTATGCATTTGGAAACTCTGATATAGTTCAAATTGCTGCGTAATTATATTAACTGAGAAGAATAGTACACAAGAATCTCTTAATTTGAATAATTAAGCTTTTCAAGTTGAATCACTCTCCTTGTCTAGTCAGTAGATTTGAGTATATGTGTCGTGCATTCATTTTTGCTGTTATAGTATGTATTAATGGGCTTCTGGTTTCTGTCTTCCCTCTCAGGGTGAGCAGGGACTTCCTGGAGCTGCTGGCCAAGACGGTCCTCCTGGACCATTGGTAAGAAGACACAATGAGGCACCATTATGTTGTTCATTTAAACTAATGAATGTCACTTGTATATTTCTTTTTGTTTGTTTGTTTTCTGCATAAAGACAACTGTGACATTTATGTGTCTTGACATTCTAGGGTCCTCCAGGTCTTCCTGGCTTGAAAGGTGACCCTGGTACTAAGGGTGAGAAGGTATGTTTTAACTAGTATTTAACTAGTACTTTTTCCAAAGCACAAAAATAAAGACGGCAAATGGAACATGTCAATAGATAATTTTAGTAAGAAAATGTTGTGATATCCATGTGTGTGTGTTATATATATATATATATATATAAATATAATGTATGTAAGTGTGTGTGTGTGTGTGTGTGTGTGTCTATTTTACCAGATCAGCATATTAAATTGTTTTCTGAAGGATCATATGACACTAAGATGTCTGAAGAAAATTCAGCTTTGCCATCACCGAAATAAAATACATTCAAATAGAAAACAGTTCTTTTACATTTAAATTGCAGTAATATATCACAATATTGCTCTCTTAAACTCAAAATTCTGCCTTTTTGAGCTTAAGAAATTTTAAAAACATAAATTATATATATATGCCATAAACGTCTCCAAGGAGTTTCTACACTTTAAATATTCCTTTCCTAAATCTGTCTATGTATATTTACAATTATGCTGAGCTCAGTTGAAAGTTTAAGATGTGAGAGCAACAGGCCTCACTGGCATCTCTATTTCACATAATGACAAGGTATAAACAAGCTCTTAGTGCTGTAGATTAAATACAGTGTCAGACAATAATTAAACTGTTACTCTGCCTGCGATACATAATCAATGCAGTATACATCTGTAAATCTGTTTTATGAGAGGAGACCTGCTGAGATGTGAAGTATTAATATTCTGGAGAGGCAAGTACAGTAGCTGTGGCTGTAAATATCAGGTGTTGAATAGAAACTAAAGCACTTGAGCACCTCTCAGATTCTGCGCCTTAAATAAGATTTATATTGCACACACTGTGGACTGTGGTAGCAAAAGATCCAGAACAATAACTTCTATTTAATACATGATAAAAGAAATTGTTTGCCATTTCAGCCTTTACACTGAGATTTGCATCAGTTCTTTTACTGAATAATGCATGCCATTGTTCCACTTGTTTCACTCGTCCAGGGTCATCCAGGTCTGATTGGTCTGATCGGTCCTCCCGGTGAGCAAGGAGAGAAGGGTGACCGAGGACTGCAAGGACCTCAGGGACTTGGTGGAGGCAAGGGTGATGCTGTGAGTGATGTGTGCTTTTTACATACACCTGAGTCAGTTCAGAATCTGGGTGTGCTTTTGTCTGCTCCTCATAGATGCTGTTATTTAAGAATATGTTTTGGTTTTGCACTGTTTTGAATTGTTTTATTGACTGTAGGGTCTCATTGGTGCTTCTGGTCCCCTCGGTCCCCCAGGTCCTCCTGGTATTCCTGTAAGCAGTTTTTTTTTTTACTCTATTTTCTGGTCAAACCTTTTTTTTCTGAAAAGACATTTATATGCTCCACAGCTATTAGGAATATTACGCAATATGTTATCATTAAGCTGCTATAGTTCAAAGTCAACTATTCTCTTTCGACAAACCTGAAGATGCTCGCTCACTCTTGCCATTTATTCCACTGAATTTTAATTATTTTGGTCAATAATGTAATAATTTTATGATTTTTTTTCATGATCTCTTTTTTTAATTGTATGAATGTTTTTACATTCATTAAAAGAAAAGTGCTGTGCATGACCCAAAATTCAGATTTCAGGAATCTTATTCTAGTCGTGACAGTCGAGTTAATGCATTGTGCATGTAAACATGACATTTAACCACAATAACATTTGCTTAATTGGCTTCCTCGTTGTCTCTATCTTCAGGGAACACAAGGACAGAAAGGATCCAAAGGATCAACTGTAAGTGCTGAACCTCTCCATTGCACATGGTTATTGAGGTGGTTAATTTTTTTTGTTCCAGTTTAAATGAAGGGTGTTTTCTGTTTCCCCAGGGTTCAGCTGGCCAGAAGGGAGACCCTGGCCTGATAGGACCACCAGGTCCTCCTGTAAGAAAAATCTTATATTGCATGAAAATAAATCAGATTGTCTTGAGAGCTGTGCTGAAAATCACATTGACATGCTTATGTCTCCAGTGGGAATGAAGCCGACCCTACAGAATTGTCAGCGATTTCTTTTTTATTTTCTATCACTAGGGCCCAGCTGGTGACATCATTCAGCCCCTCCCCATCCAGACAAGTAAAAAATCGCGGAGGTCACCTGACATGCAGGATGACGAAGCAGCGGAAATGATGGATTATGGTATGGAGGGAATGGAGGATGTGTTTGGATCCCTCAACACCCTCAAGCAGGACATTGAACGCATGAAGTTCCCACTGGGGACCCAGGATAACCCAGCCAGAACCTGCAAAGACCTGCAGCTCAGCCAGCCAGACTTCCCTGATGGTGAGAGAAAGTTACTTTAGCATAGATAAGGCAGTTAAGAGTCAGTTAAGTCTGTCTGAGGTAAACAAGAGTTAATAATCGAAGATAAAACAGATAGAGATGAAGAGAGATCTGGAGAGTTACTTCTCTCTTTATCTGGGGCAAAAAAGAGAATTTTAACATTCATGTTTTTGACTGTAGGACATTACTGGATCGATCCAAATATGGGATGCATGGGAGATGCCTTCAAAGTGTACTGTAACTTCACTGCAGGAGGAGAAACTTGCATTTACCCCGATAAAAAGTCCTCAGGGGTGAGAGGAACTCATCTCTGCTAAATCTCATGATTGGTAGTAATATAAATCAAAAATAAAGAATTGTATTATCTTAGGGAATCATTTGATCACAGTTTCCATTTGTTCCAGGTTAGAATATCAAACTGGCCAAAGGAGTCCCCAGGATCTTGGTTCAGTGAATTTAAGCGTGGAAAAATTGTAAGTGTTCATTTTTCTCTTACATTATAAACTTCATAAGCTTTGAATCATAGCTCAGCAATTTGGTCATGAATGTCTCTATTGCGTGAAGAGTGACAGTAGTTTAGGGCTGGTGGGGAAAAATGGTTTTTGGAAAAAAAAACGGAAATGGATTATTTTCATCAAATTGGGTTCTTTTAACTGTCCTTAAATGTCAGCATTCTTCTGCCAATGCAACCTGAATGGTAACTTCACAGTGCTTCAGTTAGCAAATGAATTAGTCTTTTTTTAAAAGACTAAAATCAGGTTTGTATTCATGTTGTCAGTTTAAATCGCTTACTAAACCAGTCTTAGTATTTTTATCTAACCCTAACCCTGTATTAAAAGGTTCTTTCTCAAAAGTACTAAAAGAATTGTAAACTAGATCAAGGAACGAGAACCATTCAATTCCTAACGATTTCCATCCCTGCAATACTTTGAAAAGTTTTTGAAAGTTCTTCTTTAGGCCAGATGTTTGACCCATCTATTCCCTGTGTCTCAGTTGTCTTATGTGGATGTTGAGGAGAGCTCAATAACCTCAGTCCAGATGACGTTCCTCAAGTTGCTCAGCTCTTCTGCCCGGCAGAACTTCACATACATTTGCCATCAGTCTGTGGCATGGTATGACGCCAAGGCTGACAACTATGACAAGGCGCTGCGCTTCCTGGGCTCTAATGATGAGGAAATGTCATATGACAACAACCCCTTCATCAAGGTTCTTTCAGATGGCTGCTCGGTGAGAGTGCTGTTGTTCAGTCTGCTGGTTATACTGTACTGTATATTAGGGATGCTCCAATGTTACAATTGGTAGATATTAAAATGCTGTATTTTGCCTAAATAAATGAAACTATATGTGCAAAAAAGTAAATAAAATAAGTTGCTTTAAATGCTATAAGTGAATTTTGGCATCACGACATTTTAATGTAAAATAGGAAAAAGTGGATATTCATTTTGAGATATTTTAATTATATTTAACTACTTTAAAAATGTGTACTTTTAAAGACTAACTTGAAAGAAATTAAAGATTAACTTGATTAAAGTGAACATTAGATGAGGGCAAAGGTGATCTAAATGTAAAAATAGAGGAAATGAGCTGTACAATTAAACATCTAATATTGGCAGGTGCCAATATATTTATAAAAAAAAAAAAAAAAAAACTCTAATATCCGATATGTACTGATATATATGACCCTGGACCACAAAATGACCACAAAACCAGTCATAAGGGTACATTTTTCGAAATTGAGATTTATACATCACCTGAAAGCTGCATAAATAAGCTTTCCGTTGATGTATGGTTTGCTATGATAGGACAATATTTGGCCGAGATACAACTATTTGAAAATCTGGAATCTGAGGGTGAAAAAAAAAAAAAAAAATATTGAGAAAATCACCTTTAAAACTGTCCAAATGAAGTCCTTAGCAATGCATATTATTAATCAAAAATTAAGTTTTGATATATTTACGGTTGGAAATGTACAAAATATCTTCATGGAACATGATCTTTACTTAATATCCTAATGATTTTTGGCATAAAAGAAAAATCGATCATTTTGACCCATACAGTGTATTTTTGGCTATTGCTACAAATATACCCCAGCGACTTAAGACTGGTTTTGTGGTTCAGGATCACATATTGTATATTCATACTGTATTTTAATAAAGCAACATCACATTATCACAGCAAGAATAATGTTTGTATTGAATATTCTCTTCACTCTTCACATAGTATTAATTCATATTTCACCATTTATTTTTATATTTTTACACATTTTTTAATTCGATTTATTATAATTATTTTTTTATTTTCAGTTTTAATGGTTTTAGTACTTATGTTGAATAAGTTGCCAAGTTTTAGGTTATTCATCTAATATTTATATTTAATTTTATTTCCGTTTTATTTCTATTAATGTAACTTATTTTTAATAGTTGTCATTAACAGTAACAAGTCATACAAACTGTGAAACCTCAGTGAAACCTCTTGCCGCTTGTCCAATCAAATTAGATGATCAGAACTAACAGTTGTATAATTCTGCTTAAACAGTTTATAACACAATTCATCTCTTTCTCTTTCAGCTGAAGCAGGGATATTCTAAGTCTGTGATGGAAATTAATACTCCTCGCATCGACCAGGTGCCTATCATCGATGTCATGTTGAATGACTTTGGGGAATCCAGTCAAAGGTTTGGCTTTGAGGTAGGCCCTGTCTGCTTCCTCGGCTAAAGGACACCCCCTCTTACCTTTATGGCAAAGGTCAAGGAGTGTGGCCAGCCAAAGAGACCCCCTCCTTGCGCCACAAACACACACACCAGCACCCGCACTGTGTAATCGGAAATGGAATATTCATCGAACGACTGAAGCCTGCAATTGGAATAAACCAGAAAGAGGACACAAACTACCTGGTGGACAATGGCGCACTTTCAGGAGAAGGAGGAGGACCCATTCCTTTACCAATTTTCCAAACTTGTTTTTTTTTTTTTTCTCCACTTGAACTCTTAAGCCTTGTTTTTTGTCCCATTCCAACTTTAATCCGAGCACCATTTACTCCTGATCCCAGTCCTTCCCCAAGCTCCAATCCAATTAATTCCCAATCCCGTTCCTTCCCGTTTTCCCTGTATCCATTACAGATCCTCCTCCAGGTGCTGCTCTGAGCAAGACAACCACAGTGGTGTGCTCTTGTTGTAAACACCCAAACACTTAAGGTGCTATTGAAAGTGCATTTTTTTGGTAAAACTGTAATTATTATTTTGTACAATACTGTTCTTTAATGATTGCCTTTAAATCTTGCATGTGCGTCAAAATTGATTTGATGAAATATTGATAACTATCAAGAGTATTTTCTCTAGAATTTTGTTGTTGTTGTTGTTTTCATGTTTGAAAACCAACAGTGCAACAGATTTCTTCACAAGATGTCAATCAATCAAGTGTCCCTGCCAACTATAAAATAAAACAAGCATTTCAAACCATCCAGATTTGTAATTATAAAGTATCCATTTTGTAAATATTGACCAATTTAAGCACTTGAAGTTTCCTTTTTTTTTTGTCCAGTAATATATGGGCGTGTCTAACGTAGTGAAGGATTAATGGTCTTCCACTAGTTTTCTTTTGTTCTCAAGTGGTAGCAATGATGCTGTGGTAATCAGTGACTCTACAATGCTAAAGAAACTTGATGAAAAGTAACATGATGTCAGATTGAATTTCTTGACACTATACCTCAATCTCTTAAAAGACGTATCCAATTCAAAGATGTTCAACCCTGTACATACAGAGCCTTGGTTAGAAAATCAAGTTTATATATTTGAGGCAGGGAATTTTAAAATAAAAAAGACTATTTGTTAAACTTTTGTTTGGTTATTTTGTGATTGCTATAATTACCCCTTCTAGATCTAAAGCAGAAACAGCTATTTTGAGGTGCTTTTCATCGATATAACAGATTCTGGACAGTATTGTATTAAAATTGATAATTGTTTACTGTTTGTATGAATCACATCTGTGTGATTCCTCAGTCACACTTTTTTGTGCTGTATGTGCAAAAGCTTGTTGCATTCTTCATATTTAAAGTTTCTGTGCTGAAATGTGTTCAGGTTTTGTGGTTCTGTAATGCTCAGGCTTTGTTTTGGTTGCTTTATTTTTTCACGTGCTTCCATTGTTTTTACGGTTCTGTCTGTGTCCCTGAAAACCCTTCAAATATATGACAATAGACTCAGAACTTACACGTCTGTGTAACATACTTATAATTTATGTAAAACTTGGAATAAATGGTCGATTATATTTCAAGTAGATAATCTACTCTGTTTCAGTTTTGCCCAAACCACTCAATCAATCAATCAATCATACAATTTAAGCCATAATGTCACTGGATGTAAAGCATGTTTGGTTTTTGAAGCATGTCTTGTTGATCTTCTACTAAATCTTGTAGTTTAAAGCTCACAGAATGATGCTGAAATCTAGAATAGAGATTTGCAGTTTCTTTAATAACTGATGTTGCCATGGTGCTATATGTGAACAGCTCATGCAGAAGTGATTATTCAGCTGCTGGAGCAGAAACTGGCCTGATGAGCAACACACGGCTATGAGCACCTGCATGTGTAGTGCCTTGGATGTTAACAGCCATGCATTTAGCGACCCTGAACTAATGGCCTGAGGTAGGAAATTACTTTTTGGGATAAAAATATTAGTGCTGAAAGCATGAAGTAGAGCTCATAAAGGGGTAAGGAAACAATTTGATTCTGAAGAGAGGGTTTTTGTTGTTATCTGTTTCGACGGAGGACATGATTACAAAGGGCTACAGAAATCCAAAAAGTTTAAGTAGTACACATTTTTTATGAAAAAAAAAAAAACTTTTCAAGGGCTGTGGGTGAAGAGAAAAAGCCAGTCTGTCTCTGTGTATCACTCGGAGAGTGCAGTATATTAGTTCAATTTTTCCTTTATTTTTCTCCCTGGCTTCCTATCTTTACAACCAAAACTATAATGTGAAAACATAGATGTGTTATAGTGGTGAAGCTGTAGTTTCTGTACCACTAGCATCACCGAACGGAATTGCAAAATGATTCTCAAATAAGTTTCAGGCCTACCTAGTCTCCCATTGGTCAGACAAACCGATTGTCCCTCCCCCAAATCACGCAATTGATTGATTCCAGGATGCTGTTTTGTGATTCTTGAAAAAAACAGAGCAAACTAAGTTACGATAGTGCCACACTGATCAACAGTGTTTATTTACATTTGTTGCGCGAACTGACCCACAAATGACATTTTTTAATATCAACAAAATCACACACTTTACCATTACATTAGCAAATTTAGAATATAGAAATATCAGGGAATTTTAAAATAAAGCAATAAGCCCCAATAAGCCCCTAAGTGGTTTACAGTGATTTTATAACAGCTACGGGGCATTGTTAGGCATGACGCGAAGCGGATAAATTCACTGTAAATCACGGCTTCACAGGGCTTATTGCTTTTATAAAATGGTTATTCCATATACGTAGTATGGTTTCACAAAATATAACAGAACAAATAAAGTGTAATGATATTAATCAGTTGTGGTTGCAACAAAGTGGTTGCCAAGCAACAGACAAAAAAAATCAAACAAAGGTGTATGTTTGTAGAGTAATTTACAACAGCTTCGAACGTGGCTCAGCCAATCAGAATCAAGGACCAGAACTATCAGTTTTATAATGGTGGTTTTCAGTCATTGAGATGTAAATGTTACATGACTTCTGTACCCAAATTAAATATAGCTAATAATTCCCAATGGTACATACAAATGGAGATTCTCCCCAGTAATCTCCATAAAAATATATTTAAAAAAAAAAACCTATGCAGTGTATGAATGACTAAAAACATGACGGCTGGCATCTGAAAACAACTACCTATATTCCTGAAGAGGGGTCAGTGATTTCATGATAATATTCATCAATCAGGAGTCAGTACAGTAGCATGTGCACAGCTGCTCTGAATTTAAACTGTACTTCTAGAAAAACAGTAATTGAATTACAGAGGTACATTCAAGGACCTGGCGTTGCATCAGCTTTCACTGTAGTTCTTCTCTTTTGCCTTTTGTGCCCTTTGATGGATGATTTATGGTGTAATTGAATTTGAATAGCTTGAGGTCATCCTTCTGTCAAAAAAAACACTGATGTGCAAAGAGCAATGTAATTCTACAGTGCTAAATACAGTTTTACCTGTGCAAATAATCATATTAATAATGACTAAATCTGGAAGCATACTAACTACAAACAAAACACTTACAGTATGAAATAAGTTAAAGAGCAAAGAGTAATAGGAGTAGGGATATTAGTAAGACTGAGCATTTTATTTCTGTTAAAAGTAAATGTAAGGCTAACAGATCAGATATAGCTCAACTATAGTGACTTGTATTAAAATGTATTCAGAAGAACATTAGCGCATCATTACAGAAGCTGCCAAAGATGATCAGCTAAGACTGAAATTGCTTATCAGATTAAGTCTATGTAAGTTAGTGTATTTATCTGTCATGTAAATTTATTGTCATGTTAAGACTTTGGATTTGTTTTAAATACATTTTTGTCAATATTTTTATTATTAGCCTTGGAAATAGAGTACTGTGGCTTTAAAATGATCACAATGCATTGAAGGGGCCATATGATGCGATTTCAAGTTTTCCTTTCTCTTTGGAGTGTTACAAGCTCTTGGTGCATAAAGAAGATCTGTAAAGTTGCAAAGACTAAAGTCTCAAATCCAAAGAGATATTCTTTATAAAAGTTAAGAGTCAACCACGCCTACCTAAAATGGCTCGTTCTAACACGCCCCCACATGTCTACGTCACTATGTGGAAATAATGCCGCCCAAGTGCACACGCAAAGAAAGAAGGCGTGGTTTCAGGAACAGCAGTACTGTTGATGCAGCCATGTCAGGGAGACGCTGTGTTTCAGTGCGAAAGCAAAATCACTTTATTTGACCTTCCGGAAGTAGATGCAATTAGGAATCATTGGTTAAGATTTATTTACAACAGAACAGCAAAACCCAGATGTTCGAATTTGTGCAACGCATTTTATGGACGAGTTTTTTGAACCTAGAAGAGTACAAGGCAGGCTGTGCACAAAGGCTATTTAAAAAAAAAAAAAACAATCACAATGCACTGGGTCAGCTGGCCAATCAGAGCAGACTGCGCTTGTCAAAGGAGGGGGCTTTGTTGAAAACGTGTTTGAGAGAGGCGGGGCATAGAGGACCTACGATAATGTACAGTATTTGAAAAATAATGTGTTTTTTGAACATTAAAGCATGTCAACATATATGTCCAGAAATAATATTCTCTAGTAAAACTGACAAAAAGTTTGCTTCCATGACTTTGCTTGTTTGGGATTCTGCTTGGGTTTCATAATTTTCATTAACACCTTGTTTTTGTGATTAGTATATACAAGCTGTTTTTTAATTGTTTGTTTGTTTTTTGTTTCCGTTAGCCACCACAAAACAGTGTAACTCTTGATAAAAAGGACTGATCAGTAGCCAACTGTTTTTGCTCGTAGAAAGAGAAAAAGAAAAGAAAACTCTGCTATCATCCTCTTGAGTTGTTTGAACACTCTATAAAAAGCATCAGTGTAATCTGTGCGGACCTAGTACTCAGAATGCTTAAGTTTAATACAGAAAGATGTTACATCAAAAGTTCCTGACAGCTACTTGTGAATGATTGCCTTGAAATACCTTTATTGCATTATTCATTCCTTCCAAACTTCAAAGGTACTTGATCACTTTATAAAAGTGATTGTCAATGTCCTCAAAGATTCAACTTTCAGAAGTCTTTATCCTTGAACCAGTGAGATAAATCTTAGGCACATGTGCCTAACATACTGAGTAGAACCATAATGCCTACATCACAATAATAATGAATTTGCTTAAAAAGTGTGCTTAATATTTTTATAAAAGAAATTAGCTAAATCTGTATTGTAGAATATAGTCACAGCTAAAGGTACTGCAGCCCTTTCGATCTTGACTATATTCACAATCTATTATCTCTCTTTGGGTACATGGTTATGCCAGTAAATGGAGACAAATAGCTGTCTTTATGTGCAAGTGATTGGAATCAACACTGCTTCATTCAGTAATTAAACACCACTACTGTGTGTTGCTCAGAGACAACAGTTCATTCTACAGTGGCTTCTCTTGAAACTATTTCTGTTACGGAGCAAAAAAAGACAAAGTAACTTGCCATATCAACTAAAATGTCTATAATTATTTCATATTTTTAACAATTTTTCAGGATATTTTGATTAATAGAGAGTTCAAAAGAACAGCAGTTATTTTGAATAGAACTCATTTGTATCATTAAAAATGTTTTTACTTTTACTTTAAATCAATGTACTGCATTCCTGCTAAATAAAAATATTAATAAAAAAAAAAGATATTACTGACCCTAGATTTTGAATGGTAGGGTATGCATGGGATAATGGTTTAATGTAATTGTTAAGAAAAATTATGCACTTATTAC